ATGCCCATCTCAGCAGTCAAAAAAAAAACCCTGATGCAGCCCTCAACGAAATTGAATTTGACACCCCTGCCTTGTTCAATTGAACAGTTCCATTCAAATCTGTGGCTACTTACCTGAATTTCAACCAATTGTCCTCTAAGGGATGAATTTCAGTGCCCTTTCCATCAGTAGTGTAGGAACGATTAGAAGCTGAGCCAACACCAGAGAGCAGACATAGCGGCAGGTCATCTGTCCAGCTTGAAAGCTGCTCCTATTTACAAGAAAAAAGCTCCATTTCTCAATAAAAGCAAATGGAATAAATGATATATTAATCAGAATGCTTATTAGAGTGCTAGCAGTTACAATATTTAAGATCCTCTTCATACTTACATAGATCTTGCCCCCTCAACCATATTATCTCCGCTATTGCATCACTCTTACTTACTGCCTGCTTCTTGAAGCTTAACTCCAGATATTAAATGCCCATGTCGGCATATGCTATACTACCATCTGAATATACATAACTTGTCCTGCAAAACTAGTCAGAGGCATACATTTTAATTATCATTATTTAATTGTTTTTCAATGCATAGTTCAGACAATACTCCTCTTGCATTTTTAAAATAGTTATCCTCCAGAAAGTCACAACTCTTCTCCCCCAGTATATACATGGATTGCATGATATTTGTCTATACACCACAGAACTGTAACATCTTCATTTGGAATAATCTTCCCTAGAAATACTGCATAAGTATTTATAAAGTAGTTCCTTTTTTATATGGATCTAAGGGCAAGAGTGCAAATCGTGCAGGTTGGAAGCTGCAAGCTCACTGAAATCTGCAAAATTCTTCATTTAGATCTTGATAGGCACCACTCATGACTAATGCTGAATTGAGTTTGACTATATTGTATATGCCAGAGCCAGAAATAGAAATATTTTGTTATATCATTAATATCATAAGAGCACCAGAAGCTGTTTTACTACCAATGTTTTTCTTTTAACCTTTATATTGAGAAAATTGTCCCAACAAAGCTGATGCAAAATAGGATTGTAGAATATAATGCACCAAGAACATAAGTAGTACAACTGGAGTATCTTACTGATATGCTGTATGTTATGAGTGACCATGTTTTGATTTCACTTAATCTCTTTCCCTGATAAAGTAATAAAATAAGGTATATATTCCCGAGGAGAGTTGGAGTGGGAAAACATTTTTCATTTTTATGTACATTTTGTGAAAATTATGAGCATGAAGTTGCTCCAATTCAGTTAGTTTCTAATTTGCAAGTTTTATTACCAACTGTATCCAGAAGAAAAAAGAGGAAAAAGGGAAGAAAACACAGCAAGATATCTGGTTTCATTCAAAAGTTTGGGAGACAAGTTAGGATCTAGCCCCGAAGGTGCTTTTTTTCCAAGAGGCAACTGGACTTGGGTGGGGAGTTGAAGACATTTAACTTCTCATCCAAGAAGCTTCTTCCACTCAGACTGGATGGTGGGGATTGAAAGGATTTATAGTCCTTGCAGACAGCTGGTCATTTGCATTTTTTTAGGGGTGATTAAGGTCACCTGAAGGTTTATCTGTGTCATCAGGGTCACCCAAGTGGTTCATATGGGTGTGGAGCCCTCTTGGAACTGTTGAAGACTCTGTTGTAGACTGGAGATAGAGAGATGATGTCGTCGTCCCCCCGTTTCCCCCCCGCGCATTGAGAGAGGGCTGTTCAATTTTGATTTTGTCCAGTTGCCTCTTGAAAAAAAGCACCTTTGGGACAACCATGACCTGGATGACTGAGAGTCTCCACAGACATTTAGGATCTCTAGCCTATTTACACGCCCTACATTTTGCAGCTTACGGGAATGGGGCGCACCCGCCTTTCACAACGGTGCCCCTTCTGGCTGTGTTGGCTGCAATGCCTATACTTCTCAGCCCAGCCTCCCGGGGGAGTTATCTTGGCGCATAGAAAACTAACGCACTCCAAAATGCGACCTCGCTGCTGCCTGCGTCATTTAAAGGAGAAACCCCCCCGCATGCCCTTGGCTCCTACTACTAAGAGAGCACACCGTGCACCTCTGCCTGCACGCCCATCCCTTCCGTTACTGTTGCAGGAAAGCATCCTTCCGTGTGTGGGCAAGGCAGGGGAACCAGAAGCCCGCGAGCCACCCGACTCTTCCCTTAAATCCGGGATTGGTACTTTCTTCCGTCCGTTCACCCCCGCCGCCGCCGCGGCCCTCCCGTGATCCCATAGAAAAAGCGGAGGTGCTCACACTCTGCAGAAGACTCCTCCTTACTGCCGCCATCTTTACGCAGAAGCAATACCCTCCTCCCACCCATCGTCGGGCAAGAGTGGTAGGATCTGGCTGCAGGATGGCCATTGGATGTAGTTTTAGCCTGCGGAATTTCCCTCGGTCGACAGCGCCCTCGAGAGGACGGGAGGAAGTATTGAGGCTCGTGGCTTTGCTCGTCTGCGTTTTGTCTTGCGTATCGGATTTTTTTTTTTAAAAAAAAGACTACTGTATACGCTATCTATTTGCAGCAGAAATTTGTCAATGTAGTCCTCGGCTACCACAATGGATGTGCTGTTATTTTGCAGATAAAGCAGGAGGAGCGCCGCGGACATCAGCACCAACTGGCTTTCTATATTCAATTGATCATATATTTCTAAGCCTTGCACTGAATCGTACTATTTGATCAGCAACGGCTGCACGTTGTACATTTTCACAGAATTGGGGGCGTTTAAGTCTGCGAATCCACATCTTAGATAATCTCTGAGAAATTTCGGTAGCCTGCAAGATATTATCTTGTGATAATTGCATGTTACCTTTGGTGCCTTCTTACTGCAATTCTGCTTAAGTTTTAAGTTTACCACTTATTTCCAAATTGTAGTATAGTGTTTAAGGTCCTGGCTTCAGTCTGGAGAGATGGATTCCAGGTGCTTTTCATAGAACGTCCTACTTGGTTTATGGCCAGTCACTTTCACCCTGACCTATCTGCCAAGGTTGTTGTAAGGATAAAAGGATTAAATGAGGGGAGTTCACCATGAGCTCTTGGAGAAATGGGAAATGAATGAGTCTGACAGGCCTTACCAAGCCAGGTTTTAGGTGCAAGATGGCCGCTCTTCTAAGGTTGTCCCCAAAAGACCCAAAAATGAAACTTGCAGAACTGTAAATTAAATGGATTATTTCTTGAATGGTCTGGAAAGGGTTAGTAGATCGACAAGCTGGCTGTGAACCTGAGATCTGTGCTGAAATGCTTTGGAAATTGGTAAGAGAAGGCTTCTTGCCATTACAATACCCTAACAATTCAGTGTCATACAGTACAGGTAGGCCTCGACTTACAACAGTTTGTTTAGTGACCATTTGAAATTACAAAGTCACTGTAAAAAGTGATTATCACTGTTTTTCACACTTAGGACCACTGCAGTATCTCCTTGGTCACATGATCAAAATTCAGACACTTGCCAAATGACTCATAGTTATGATGGTTGTAGTATCCCAGGGTCAGGTGATCATTTTTTGGCAACCCTTTGACAAGTCCACAAGAAAGCCAGATTCACCTTACAACCAGGTTACTAACTTAACAATTTCAGTGATTCACTTAACAACTGTGGCAAAAAAGGTTGTAAAATGGAGCAAAAGTCACTTAACAAATGTTTTGTTTAGCAACAGAAATGTTGGGTTCAATTTTGGTCGTAAGGCGAGAACTGGCCACTTCTATTAATGTCCCAGCAAGAATGTCTTTTGGAAATCTTAGCCATTGGAAAAACCAGATGATCAAATGAATCCAGTGGTTTGTCATCTTTTCCCCCTGGATTGTACCCAAATGCCTCTGCACCCAATAGGCTGACAAGGTTTGCTAGTGCAGGTATAAAGTATTAGCTCACCATGCTAATGACTGGAAACAACTGCCTTTATTTTACGTTACCTTGAGAAGTCATTTTCTCTCACTTGCTGGCTGGTGTAAGGCACATAAAAAACAAGAGCTGTGGATGGGTACTCTTGGTTCTTTACCCACCCCATTTTCTCAGAAAACAAAGGACATTTTAATATTGTGTGAACTGCCCTGAAAAGCTTTCAAGTTGGTAACAGATTTAAAAATTCACATTAAGATTATGCATCTTTTCTCACATCAAGAGCCACACTTTCCTTGGGGCCTGCTTCAAAAACCAGACGAGGTTGGGGAAAACAGATGGTAGAACCAGTTAGGTGAAGAGATGAAGGTGTTGAGCTGAGATATGGGAGATCTGGATTCAAGCCAGCGGTGCACTGGAAGTGGCTTGTACCAGCTTGCAAAAATCACTGGTTAAATTTTCAGAAACATGACACCTAGGACACTGATTCAAATCTAGTTTCTCACCAAATACTCACTGTGTGACTTTGGCCAGCCGTTACTTTCAGCTGAATCTACTTTACCGGAAAAAAAATCAGAAAGAAGGAGTACTGTACATGCCAGTTTTAGCTCCTGGAGGAAAGGTGGTGATCTACATCTAACAAATATGATTAAAACTTGATTTGATTTTTGGTGCCAAAATGTTTGGCTGTCACCTTAAAGATTACAATTCTGTAACAGTTTTTGAAAGGATTCTGGGGACTGTTTCAAGATTTTCAGGGGCTGCATGTGACCTTGAGACCACAAATTGTGCACACTCATTTGAACCAGGGGTGGGTTTCTACCAGTTCTGTCCACCTCTGTAGAACCGGTAGCTCTGAAGAGCAGCAGACATAGAACCGGTTCTATGTCTGCTGATGTTTTTGCCTACCCGCCTGCCCGCGCTCTTACCTGACCTTTATTCAACTTTTTTCAACTTCAGCTGCCGTGCGAGGCACAGCTGCAGTTAAAAAAGCAGAAAAAGGTACTTTTTCAAAGGCTGCTTCTCGACACGCAGTGCTGCTCAGCTGTCCAGGCACCAGACTGATAATGATTTAGAGGCGCGCACAGAGTGCAGGGAAGCACATCGTAAATCACTGAACCTTGTAAATCACCGAACCAGTAGTTAACCCTGTTGGATCCCACCCCTGATTTTAACTAATGTAATAATGTAAACTTGAGAGAATGAAAATTTCAGAACACTCCTGTTACAATTTTCAATGTAACAATTTTATTGATATCAGTAATTATCACCTTCACTTGTTTTTTTTAAATAACCACAAACATATATGACATCATAAACAGAGGTGCCAAGAGGTCAGGGTTTCTTCTATTATTTGGTAGGAAGAAATACACTGAAGAGGATAAAATGAGTGGAGCTAAGAATTCACTGAACATTTGGGGGATCCTGTAGGGAGCAAGCCACTCTTTCATTGCCACATATGTATATATGTGTATATATAAAGTCTATGTTAT